AAGCGACCAAGTCAGTCAACCTTTACTGTTTGCTTCCCCTTGGTCGCCCAAAGCCTGGGATTCGCCAGCCGGTTTACGTCGTCTGCGTGCCCTAACGCCCGCGCCGAGGGTGTGGGTTTGTTGAACATTACGCGGTACTTGCCTGTATCCTCTAGATGGATAGGCTAGTTGGTTCACTCAACCCTCAATTGCACCGGTTTGCTAGTCTCCGCACTAAAAAAAAAAAAAAAAAAAAAAAAAAAGACGTGCCCGGCGAGGCAAGGACCGATGGACCGATGGACGGCGACAGGGCTTTCGGTGGCAGCATAGCACGGGCTGCGCCGGGCTGCACAGTGTATCTAGCACGTGTCGGTGGGTTGGATTTACGGCGCATTGCGATTGGTGGGCTGGCAACCAAGCATGGTTGGTGCCCTCTTATCAAGGGCGGGCGCTCGGCTCCACCGTGAAGCCGAGATCCTTGCTGGCCTTTTGGGGTTGCATAATGTCAGAGTCGAGCTCTGGAGAGGTCGAGGGGAGGGAGAGAGAGGCAAGCACGCAAGCCATCAGATCTGGCCATCAGTGGGCGCGCGCTCATTCTGCTATGGGCCGCCGTTTGACTTGGGCAGTGCTCGCGCGCTGCTCAGATAGCAAATGGACCAAGAGTCCTGTTCTTCGGGTGGCGCACTACCGCACAGGTCACAACCGTCTCGATATTGGCAGATGAGCGTTCAGACGCCGGATTACGAAGGAGCCTGTGGGGGGCTTCCCACTCGGCCCAGTGGGTGCCGCCAAGCACCGGCCACACGAACTCGTGCTTCGTCTGATATGCGCTCCCTCGCCTTCCTGCTCCTTCTAGCTCACGCTCTTTCTCCTTCCTCTCTTCGGCGAAGAAGGGGACTTTGGGCAGGATTGTGCAACACATGCACATCCCGGGCATGTGCGCGTGCGAACGAGGTACCTAGCGCGCCCGCCGCGCTCGCCGGTAAGCAAAAGAGAGGGGGTCGAATTAGAGGCAGGGGGGGGGGATAGGCGGTGGTGGTGTGCTGTGCCAGGCCCAGGTCCAGGCCCAGTTCAAGGGCTGCGCCCCCCGGCAGCGGGCCAGCAAAAGCGAACGGCTGGGAGAGGGAGGGAACATAATCGGTGGCAGGGCCACTTTGCTCGCTCCAAAGCGGAGTGGAGCTAGCTAGCTTGACATTTCGGACGGATCGAAAATCCCCCAAGAGAGCCCGCTTGCCGCCCATCGCATAATGTAGTGTAGATGGCGGAGATCGGGGTAAGTTTTGCCAGGGGGCCCCGAACCCAGCGCCCCAGCGCGCGCGTGCGCGACACGGCCGTGCAGGCTACGCGCACACGCCACAGGCCACGGGAAGAATGGAGCGCTCTGGAGTTTCTGGGCCTTCTTTTTCTTTTTTTTTTTTTTCATGCCTGCAGCGAGCGAGCACAGTGGCCGACTCGGCCGGAGCCATGCTTGGGGCCTGATCGTCGTCGTTCCCGACCTGGCCGATGTAGCAGTAACAGGGCAGCCCCCCAGACAGACCATGTCTCCAGAAACAGCCCCTTCCCCCTCCTCCTCCCCCGGCGATGGGAGACTGCTGTGTCTGATTGTGCTTTATGTCGATATATTTGTGCCATTTTCATTTGGCTGACCGGCTGCCTTGTGGTTTCTATATGGGCCGCGCTGTGTGGATATTGTCTCTCTTGTGTGCCGACGCCACTTGCCGGGCTCAGAGCTGTCTTGCTCCGTAACATGGAACGGCGGGCAAGAGAGGCCAAAATCACACTGTGCTCAAGCTTCCATTCAACGTCGGCCTATCTTCTATGCCTCAACCCGCCATCTGCTGCTGCTGTCTTGACGCCTACCTACCTCCTCACCGCAGCTGCAAGACGGTGCTCAGCCCGAGTAGCATTGCATCTGCTCGAGCGCCTGATTGGCAAATTTCTTTTTTTTGTCTTGCGATTCCTTATGTATGGCCACCGAATGTTCTGTTGGTAGCCCAGTCTATCCGCCTGTAGAATATCTATCCAAGCTCCACGTGGCAGGCGAGCGGATCGACAGGACCACATTCATTGGCAGCCAGGCTGTCCCGGGAATGGCTGCCGTACAGCGCAGCATGATGCGCTGCTGCTCCTGCTCCTGCTGCTGCCGCCGACCACTCGCCGCTCACTGCCGAGCCATATCAGAACCCCTCCTATAGTTGAGGCGCCCAATAGAGTGGATTAATATGGAAAATAGTGGCCTGCTCACTCGGGAAGCAGGGGGGCGCTTGGGAAGATGGACAGGGAGCCAGCGAGTATCGCGGCACCCCCGCGCGGGCGACCCATTCTCAAACAGATGGACTTGTTGTTGAGGGGGTCTTTTTCTGAATTACCGCCGCCAGTCAATATTTCCTCCTTTTTTCCCCTTCTTGGTAGGTCCGGGTTCACCAGTCCGCGAGCGAGGCACAACACATACCGCCTCGCAGCAGCCACCAGGAAAAGACCACACCACCCTTTTGCACGACGCAGCCCCCGAAGCCGTATTATCTAAGCCTTCTGGACCGGTCGTGGCCCATCGGATGGTGGGCAGAGCAGGCCCCGGGGAACATGGTTCGTACACGAACATGTCCAGAGACATGCAGGACCCCCCCCTCTCGACTCCACCGGCGGCGATGTGTATGAGCACGCTGGTCTCTTCGTCACAGACGCATGGCCTGCTCGAGGTGGTTGCTTTCCCGCACCTCCTCCATGAGTGCAGTGCCACTGTATACGTGCACATCTGCTACAGACCGTTGTTTTTTTTTGCTTATCCTTGGCACATACACACACACACACACATACCTACCTACTTTGTGTGCGGCCAGTGGCGCCTGCCGCTCGCCCCAGAATCTGGCCCTGTTGCGTCCTGCTCACCTATCCCAGGAGATGGTGCATGTCAAAAATCGCACACGGATGGGCCCATGCCTCTCATCGTGTCTGCTTCGTCTTTTCCCTCCTTCGCCGCAGCCCATCCGCCCTGTCCCCATGCCTACCTACCCAACTACCACCCAAGGCTCCGGATGCAGACGCACTGCTCCGCCGGGGGGGTGGTCCATGATTGGGGGATGCATGAAGCGAGCAGCTTCTGCCGCCGCTCGTCGGAGCCGTCTTTCGTGTCTTGTCTCTCTACCCTTTTTTTTTTCGCTGCCTCTCTTTCGCTGCAACAACCGCGGATGTCCAAGCGGGACGGCAGCCAATGCATGCGCTCACGCCGCTCGGGCAGGGTCTGCGTTGTAGGTGCAGTAGGGCCGCATGCAAGACCCATGCCTCCACGTATGTATGTGCATGGGTAGCACCACAAAACAAAAACAGAGGAGCCCACTGCCCGCTACAAGCCACAAGAGACTTGCAGGTGTGGGTGGGGAGGGGATATGTGGGTAGGGATGTCGTGGTTCGCGGTGCGTGGACGAGCTCGACTTTGGCGAGGCCAAGGGCCGACTTTTTTTTTCTTCTTTCTTTTTCTCCTTCACTAGCCGCCACCACACCTTTCCCATCCTCTGCATCCCCACAGGCTTGTCTTGGCCCCCCCTCTTCTTCCTTTCTGTTTCCCGGCGAGGATGAGGCCAGAGCTGCTGCAGGCCCGGTACACGACCACTGCGTTGTCAACCATGTCGAGCGCCGGCTAGTCCGTCCGGGGGGCCGCCTGCGCCGTGCAAGTTTCTGTGGAAGCGGGTACGTGCTCAGATCTGGCAGGTTGGTGCTAACCGCAACAGTTGGGCGTTTCGTTGGTTTGGGACCTGGGGTTGGGGCATTGAACCTTCAACAGTCTATCATTTTCCCACGGACTTGGTAGTGGTCGTGATGAGGTGTGTTCGTGCCCACACTCACAAGCAAAATCGGACAGACGATTCTGTCAAAGCGCCACATTCAAGCCACGCACTGTGTCGGCGTTTGCCACGCTCCATCTCGAATGGATGCCAGCCACTGGCTGTCAGGGGGAAAAATTGAAAAGTAAAGAGAAGCAACAAAAAAGCAAAAGCAACAACAGCCGGCGCTCACATGATCGGCAGAGGGCGATGCAGTCGCCTTCAGAAACGCATGCAGAGTGCGCGGCGGGCACACGCCAGCGCCATGCGTTACGCCAGAATACGGAAGCCGTAGGCACTGCACTGCAACCCTTTTAACGTTCCCGGGGCAATTTGTGTGCCTACTGCCTACCTAGGTGCCTACCTAGGTAGGCATGTCCTCCTCGTACATGCAGATGGCGTATCGGCGGTGGTCCAACCCCTCATCCCTTGCGAGGGCGGCCCACTGAATAAGAACGGGCTGGGCTACGATGCGATGCGGTGGTCTCGGATGTGCGCGCGCGTTGCTGTAACATGCTGCTGCCGCCTTGCACCGCCCGCCTATGCTCGGGAGCGGCATGGATGGGAAAGTCGCAGCAGCCGTGGCCCTGGCTGGGCCGTTGGGGTTCTGCATCTGTCCAGTCACCAAGCGGCTCCATATAATGCCTACCTAGAGGTATACCTAGAGGTATAGGTACTCCTGTATGCTGCCTGCCTCCTTCACCTCTGCATCGATACGGCAGAAGCCCACAAGGCTAGGTTGGTGGTTCAAACCACCCTAGTGAACCACCCTGGCTTATTGGGGAGGGCCTGAGACACTGTTGGTACCATCAGACCGCCCCTCCGGTTCTGCAACCAACGAAGAAGGGAGGCTTGTGTGTTTGTGACAACCACCAGCCAGAAACGGCGTTGAACATTGAGAATATGCCTCGTCGACAATATCGGCTCCGTCTGAAGGAGCCCCCGAGCTTACACTGACCTAGGGGATGAAAAAATAAGCACAGACCGCCATGGCAGGCCCTCCAATCCGTTTCACTCAAACAAGAGACTGGAGTGACTGGGAGTTCCAAGATCAGACGCACTGTCGTTCCTGCTGCTCCATGGTGCTTTGGGTCTGGAGACTCGTCATCGTCGACCTCCGATGGCCGTCGTCTGGACTTTTTTTTTTTTCTTATTCGGACCCGAGCACTTTATTTCTCTTCCAATTATTTTTTCCCGATCTTCCCAACTTGCTTTCTGGTGGCGTGTTCCCTGGAGTTGCAGCTGGCCCAGCCGGGTTTGCACATGAAGCCATGGGCACGCCTTCGGCAATTGCCGCCATCCCAGACGACCAATGGCCGACTCGGGCGGACGGATCCAGGCGCCATTGGAATGGTGAACAGGAAAAAAGAAAGAAAGAAAAAAAAGCCCGCTAGGCGGCGGGCTTATGCGAGGACGATTTTACCCGTCGCCACCCTCCATTCCCGTTTGGAACTTTTATTTTTATTTTTGTCCGGGGGTGGCTGTCAGCGATCCATTTCTCATCCTCTCGGTTTATATTTTGTCACGAGATGCTCCTCAGAGGCACAGACGGGCGCAACTGCCGAGGGCCAGAGAGTCGGCCAAAAACAAAGACCCCTGCCTGGCAAAGGGTGGGAAGGAAAAAAAGAGGCGATAGATATCAGGTGCTGGTCAGATGGGGGGAGAAGGAAGCGGGGATGGTGGTTTTTTTTTTTGTCGCTTGCATGCGCGGCTGTGCCGCAATCAGCCTGCGCCATTTCAACGGCCAGGGGGGTTCTCCAGCCTGGTTCCCAGGTGGCCCGTCCGTCCGTACCCTCCCTCCTTGTCGACTTCGCGCGCACAGCACACATTTGGGTCGCCAGTGGGGGTGGGGAGAAATGGGGGGGGAGAGGGAGGGATGCCGGCGCACGACTGGCGGCGGCGGGCTCCGAAATGCAAGATGCCGGGACACCTTAACCACTGCACCCACTCACACTCGCACTCGCACCACACACACAAACGCGGGCTCGCACCACACACATACAGGAAGGGCACACACACACACCACACACGCACGCACGCACACACGCACACATCGAATGCATGCGGTCTGCTGCAGCTTGGGGAGAAAAGCGGAGAGAAAATGACGCCAATCTTGGGACAAACATTTTGTGGGATGCACCTTTGCCGTAATGCAAGGCTGGGGGTTTTTCTCTCTCCATTGTTCGCTCCCGTGTTTTCTATTTTGGAGAGTTTTGCGCAAAATTGGCGGCAAACCACCACCCCCCAAAAAAACCCGGTTGCCGCCCTGACCACCACCCACCCCCGCTTCCATCGTGTTCGGAAGGAGCGGTCAAGACTGGACAATCCCTGGCTGACAAGCAAACAGCCCTTAGCCTCACCACATCCCGGCTCACCGGTCGGCGTTTTGGCGGTGACGATTAGCCGGAGAGAAGAAGAGGGATGGGAGAAGGGCCCGAGCGTGCAATCGTTTTTTTTTCTTCTTTTTCTTCCCCTTGTGGGCAGCGGCAAAGAGACGCAAGGGACAGGACATACGAGAGCTGCCAAGGCGGGAATTTCCCACCCCCTTCTCACCCACCTAGACAAAAAGAAGTGTGTGGCGTGGCGGGCGGGCGACCAACGGGTTCCAGATTTGATCCAAAGGGAGGAAAGGAAGTCGGGGATCTCACGAATAGGGCAGCACAACGTGGTCGGTCGGTTATGGAAAGGCCTCGCCCGCTGACACTTGGACACCACCAACCTTGGCTGAAGCTGGAAAAAAAAAAAGGGGGCCCGCTAGTGGCTGGCAGGTTTGCCTAGGCGTGTGGCAAGGCTAAAGAGAGAACAAAACATAAAACAAGCCTTCTTCGATATTTCATCAAGCTTCGTTCCAGCCACTCGTGCCGCGGGGGGTGGGTGTTGGCTGAGCCCCAGGGCCTTTGGACGCACCCTTGACTTTTTTATTATTATTTGTCCACCATCACCACCCTTACGGCGTGGCAGCCGCTTACACGGAGCTGATGTCTTGTCTCACTTTGTTGGCCGATCGCCAATCAGGAGGGGGTGTGGGATTGAAACACGATGCACCAGCTCTTTACTCGTGGGGAGAAAAAAAGCAAGTTCGAGCGACCCGTTTGGAGATATTGAGTCGCCTTAGCGAGGATTGACATATGATATTTGGGCTGGCTGGGTGCTGTGCATGGCGCGCGAAAACGTCACAGTGTGCAATTTTTATTTTTTTTGCTCATCCTTTGCTGCTCGCTCCCCTGCCCTTGCCCCTGCTCTGCCCTGCCCTGCCCTGCCATCCATCCCCCGCCGCCATCGCCGCCGCCACCCCTGCCACGCGCGATATTCCCAACCGAGGATGGCTATGTATCCATTGCGACGTCCGAAGAGCCGCGATCTACCTTTTTTCCTTCTTTTTTCGTATTTTATCATGGCGCCTGGTTTGATTGCGGCTGTTTGACCGAATGTTGTCTCCCTGGACGGAAAAAAGCCCCAAAGGGAGCAGCAGACTGCGGTGATGACCCGAAATTTGAAATTTGCCTTGTTTCCTTCGGCCCCCTCGAGCTAGCCATACAGAGCTCTTGATTCTGTCCTCATGGCGCAGCCTAGTCCAGGTGGCGGCGCGGGTCATCGCCGGGCGTTCTCGTGACAGGTCAAAAGGACTGTGCCCCAGGCACGGGGTAGCTACAGTGCCTGGATACTTAGGTACCACTCGATGGAGCGTATGTGTGTGTGTGTGTATGTGTGTGCATGGCATGGGTGGAGGGACGGGAACTGCATTTCCCCTTCCTCTGCATGCGCGCGTTGCTTGCCGGCATGGTATGCTGCCCTGTCCTGCCTCGCCTTGCCTTGCCTTGCTGCCTCCTGTATGTCGCGTGTCCCCTTTGAGCCTCATCTTTTTTTTTTTTTTTTTTTTTCATGCACGACATCCGTCTGCCAGGCGACGCCAAACCTCCTCCCCCTCCCTCGGCGATCCCCATCATCATGCACGTCGTGCATGCCCGCCCTACATTGTCTATTTCAACGTTGCCCGGTCCTTTCCTGCCACCAACATCATCACCTTCGTGCCTTGCACCCCCCCGCTGAGCTGGACGCCCCCATGTAGTTTCACAAATTGGTTTGATGCCTCGGCTCGCCTCTCTATTTCCCCTCCCCTGGGGCAGCCAGGGTCACCGTCACGCCCTCTCGCTTCCATCTCGGCGGCCCTTGACAAAGGGCAGAGCATCAACCACCACCCCTCCTTGCTCGTCCGCCGCGCCGCTTCCCATTTTCCGCATGAGACGCTATAGCCAGCTGGCCCCGGCCAGGACCCCCGTAGCATCGAAAATGTCGTACAGGAAACGGGTGATGAAATCTCTTGGGGCAAATGTGTCTTGCAGCCAGGGCAGCCTATCAAGCCCGACACATCCTTATTTGCCATTTCCCACGCAAGGGGGGGCTGGCTCGGAAGCCAGGTGGAGAGGGCGGATGTGGGATGTGGCTCACGACGACGATCGAGAGGAGGCCGCGTCCAACAACCCCAAAGAGATGACTACAATTTTCCACAGTCATCTCGGTGGGATGAAAGGTTTGCAGGGGGGCATAGCTCCTCCGGCCAAGTTCAGCTAGCGACACGCCCTCCTTTTTTCCCTTTTCCTTTATCTTTCCGCCCCCCTCGTGGTGAAACTCAAAGCATCGTGACTCTTTTCTTTTTTTTTTTTCTGGGGACCCGCCACCTTGCTCGTTCCCGAGGCGCAGGGCGGGGTTGTCCTGTCAGTGGGCGGACGCAGGTGGTGGTGGTAGGCTGCGGTTATCTCGCGCGTGCCTTGCACTGGTGCAGCCCGGCTCGACGCCGCGTGCGAACATTGGCCCTAAAAAAAAAGAAAAGAAAGAAAAAAGACTGCAAGCAGGTCCCAGGTCCCTGCATCACCTCTTAGCAGGGTTCTGGGGCCTGGTGGCGGCGCGGCATGCGCGCGGGCGCTCATGCACAGCGGCTATGCGCTGGGTGCGCCGCCAACCTACCTCTCCTTGTTCCGTTTTTGATTATTGGTTGCCTTGCGCCGGGCCAATCACGGCCCCGCGTTGCCCTGCTGCCCATCTTTGCACTGCCGACGTTGGCTGACACCGCCAAGGGGCATCTCCAACGAACCCTTGGGATCAGAGCTAAAGAAGAGCGAGATAGATTGCAGCCAATCTATCCAGAGCCCCCTCCCCCTACCACGTCCTGCCAGCTGGTCTGACAGCAAACGACCGGTCCAGTCCGATGATGAGGCATTTCTCTTGCGCTCGCCGGCCAAGAAGACCTCGGATTGGCCAACTCAGGCGACAAGGGGCCTCTCTCCTTGTCGTCGTCGTCGGCTGAGGGAGGGGACACGCACAGTACGCCCCAGTTTTAAGGACCAAGCTTCCATCGCCCCCCTTGCACGCGCGCCTCTTTTCCCTGCCGGTGGGTCCCCTGTGCACGCGGCGGCGGCGGCGGCGGCGGGTAGCCCCCACTGATAGGCTGGGCCGTGCGGGCTGCCCTTCTCTCGTCTCCTCACCTCCGCCCACATGGCCCAGCCCCCCAGCTTTTCTTTTCTGTTCGCCGCCCCCCCCCCCCCCCCCTCGCCGGTGCTCCACACCAGATAAGCCCGCATTGAGGGAGCGGGAATGGTGGATGGGAAGGCTGGGGCTTTGATGGATTGCCGATTCGAGAGTTCGCGTGAGATTGAAGAAGCAAAGACGGCAAATATATCATTTGACACGTGCGGATTCCGGCACTATGCCTGGCGAGTCACAGCTTCATCGCTGATCCGCCACTTACCAGGAAAGTAAATGAAACAAGATCAAGGTCATGTCAAACCCCGTTTAAATACGGTTCGTTTCTTTGGTTCGTGGACTTGAGGGGGTTCTGATATCGTGTCGAGAGAGAGAGTGTGTGTGTGCACAATGCTGCCCACCTTGTCTATCTGGAACGCCCTCTCCCTTACCATCTGCGCCTTGCCGAGCCGAGCGAGCACGTCCGAGCGTTTTGACATGGCCGGACAGTTTTGACAGGCATTCAGCAGGGCCGTGGTTTCGGTAAACGGAAACTTCTCAGCTTGGGACGCACAGGCCCGCGCCGACCTCTCCCCTCCCAGAGAAGCCGTTGCGGGCGGTATTCGCGCGCGCACTGTGCACAACAGCCGGGCCAGCTAGCAAGGGGATCCTCGACGGTTATTTTTTTTTTTTTTTTCATTCTTTGCCAACCGCCGGAAGACCAAAGTCAGTCAGTCAAATGTCGGCCGGCATCGACCAAAACGTATATGGCGTCGTTCCTCTCGGTAAGCCACACTCTCCCAACAAGTTGATGCCAATTGGTCGTATTTTGAGGCTTGCCCCAAATGTTTCGCCAGCCAGGCCTGGCCTAGCAAGGAATACGGGGGCGCGAAGCGAACGACAACAACACATACACACACACGCTGACAGAAGCGGGCCCGAGGCCTATTCGGCGCCCATCGGGGCCGTCGGGGGTTCCATGTCCACCCCTGTCGGGAGATCCGCACCAACCACCCACGGCGACCGGTGGCCTTGCTGGCCCAGAGTCGAGCCCCCCCTTTCTGTCCAAAAGGGAAAGAGAGGGGGTTAAACGCCGCGCCGGATTCAACCCAATCAACGCGAACCACGTCTCGAACCCACAACCACAATCTATTTTGATCGGTAGGCTGCCCTTGCGCCAACACTTCGATTCTTTCGCAATCATCTTTTTCCTTCCCAGGCCGAGCCGAGCCAATGCGGATGCGGTGTTGGGGCCCATCCCGGCGCCGTCATTTGGGCTCATTGTCGCGCCTGTGTGTGTGTGCGGGAGGGTGAGATGCCTCACTCACTAAAAGAGAGAAAAATGGGCGCGTTTCTACTTTCCTTTTTTTTTATTGTTTATTTCCTCTTTTGACATGGGCGCCTACCCTTGCTTGGGGATGCGTGTGTGTTTTTCCCACTCTCAGCATCTCCGCGAGGACGGCGCGCAGAGAGTGTGAGTGGAAATCCTGTCATGCAAATCATCCTTAGCCGTATCCTGAAGAGCTTCGCTTCCCGGGCCCTCATTCGTCAGATGGGCTGGCTGCATGAGCGGACCGTTTTCCGCCTTCAAATTGACATGGGCGGTGGCCAGAGCTCCCCCCAAGGACTGATGATTCTCGCGCACGCCACTTCCCAGAGGTGTGGTGGGGCGGACGAGCGGGGACCAAGACGTCAGGAAGAGCTGGCCGCTCCTTGGCTCGTGTGTGTGCTGCCTGTGTGTTGTCGTGGTGTTATTGCGCGTGGGTGGAGGTCCCAGTTTGTGGCGCCAGCGTTCTTTTCCCTTGGGGCAGGCAGGGCAACCACCACGAGAAAGTGGAGAGAGCTCTCTCAACCGATAGGCAGGCAGGCAATACCTACCACTTAGGGGGTTATTCGCTGGCCTTTTTTTGATCCACCGACGGAAGAATGAAAAATAAAAAATAAATAAAAAATGGATGCGGTCGAGATCCATGGCAAAGCAAGCCTCATCTGCGCTGCGCGAGGCAATATTTGCCTTCCCGCTCCCCACAAGTCAACAACAGGCCAGACCGCGTTCGGCCGCCGACCGCCTTTGCTGGCGCCCAGAGCCCGGTGTCGTGTCTTTTGACGTCGTATTAGGTTGCAAACTAATGGGGGGAATCTTTTGCTCTCCCCGGCCAATGGGACGGACGGATGGAGCTCTGCTTGCTCCGCTGTGCGTGTGTATGTAGGTACCTGCCCACCTACCGCCTATGTATCCTGCATATTTTGTGGCTTGCCTTTTGCTGCTTGGGGACCCAGTCGAGGGAAGGTTTGGATGGGCAAGTGATATTGTTGTAGCCGTCCGTGTTATTACCTGCGGCTATGTGCGTACGAGGGAGACAGAGCGATGATGGCACACGCCAAACCCGCGTTTACCTACCCCATTGAGCTGTTGGGGATTTCGCCGAGTGGGCGTGCTGGCTCCCCTGGCTGGCTGACTTGGGCAGGGGTTACGTGATCCTTTTTTTTTCTTTTTTTCTTTTTCGTTTCTTGAACCGAAGAGAAAAATAGAGAGAGAAAAAAGAAAAGAAAAAAGAGAGAACACGAGTGCTGCACACTGTGAACGTTGAGACGCCATCCAGCGATTGAGTGATATCCATGTACCACTCTTTCAGGCTTAGGGTCCTCGTTCACCGCTACTTCTTTGTGGCTAACACCACCCCTCCCCCCTTCCCCTTGATTAGCCACCACCTTGTTAGAAACGAGAAACGCCAGAAACAGTGCTTTTGTCTTTTTTATCTCGGTATGTTTTTCTTCTCTTCTTCCTTGACCGCGTCTCGGAAACGCCACCATGACAAACAGAACTGGCAAGGCGCGGAAGGAAGAGGAAAACCCAAAAAAAAGGAAACATGGGCTTGTCCAAGAACCGTTTTTGGCTTCTGATATTCCAGCCAATGACGCAGCCTAAACGGGCGGCTCGACTCGTCTTTCCCTTTTCTGCTTATCCACCCCATTTCTTTTTCCCTCGTCGTCTTGTCCACCCAGTCAGCGGCAGGCCGTCTTTGGCGACCGCCCAAAGTCTCTCGTGGACCAATATCCACGGTACATCCATACCTGGCAAGGCCCCTTTCCGCCGACCGGTAACTGCAACTGTGATAAACTACAAGGGAGCAGGATCGGGGAGTGGCTGGTCAAGAAACCCCCCCGCCCTCCCAACGGACGGCCAGCGCACCCCAAGTGTGGATGGCTCCCGAGGCTCCTTGATTCGCGGATTCAGTAGAGGAGGAGGGGGAGTCGGACAGCGGGCGACGAGCGACTTTCCCAAACGTGATTGCTCGGCTGGATGGCTGGCTGGGTCGCTGCTTCCCCCCTTCGGCCTCACTGTGGATCGACCGGCAACCCCGCCCGCGTCCGTGCCAGGAAGAATTGTTTTGTTGGCCAACCGCCTCTCTTTTTTTCTTCTTTTTTTTTGTCATTTTATAATTTTATTGTTATTATTACCGCCACGGTTTATTATTATGATATTTCCCAATCCAACCCAAAGCCTGCCCTCCCTAGAGAGCTGCCAAGTGTCTCCCTGCCAGGTCGTTGGTGCCGACGAACAAATGAGCCGTGATCCTCCCCCCCTCTCCCCTCTCCTCTCCTCTCCTCCAAGGCCGTTAGGCGAGTCGGCACAGCCCTCCTGGCGAGAACGATTCAACAGGAGCTGGATTGCAAGGAAGAGAGACTGAGAAGAAAGAAAGAGGGCGACGTATCGGAAGAAGAGTGGGCCGGGGTCTGTGCGGCTTCCGACCTTTCTGTGACTACCTATCGTGTCTGGCTGGTCTTGGGTGGCCTTCGATTTCTGGTGACATTGATGGATGTCCCGGCATCTCCGTCCTCCAGTCTTTTGTCTTGCCCCCCTGGCCCCCCTAGGCTTGCTCATCCTGCCGAACCACCACCCCTCCCTCTCTCACTCTCGTTCCCCCTCCTCTCAGCCCAGCCCCCGGCGGGGAAGCAGAACAAAGAGCAGATGCAAGCGCTAGCAAGGCCGATCGATGGAGATGTGCGTGTATATGTGGTTCTTGTGTGTCTCTCTGCCTTGCATTGCAGACAGCTGCCGGCCTCCTCCTTGCTTGCCCGCCCGCCCCCGAGCTTTTCGATCCGCCGGGACTCCCAGTCAGTCAGCCAGCCAGCCAGCCAGGCCCAGTCCAGAGCCGGGCGGGCGGTGCGGCGAAGCCCTGCCTCGACTCCTGCAGGCATCGGGACGGGCTGCATAGCGACAGTAGCGGCTTTTCATGTACGAATATGTACAGAAGATGGAGGATGCAGTCGGCGTCATACATTGGTCCGGCGGGAAAGCTTTTTTTTTATGTTCCGCGGATTCGCTGCATGTTTTTTTTTTTCCGCCTTGCGTGCTTTTTTTTTTACTAGTACCAGTAGTCAAATACGCCACCCACGATGGATGTATCTTTGCGTCGCTTCCCTTTATTGAATTGGCTTTGCGCTTGCGCTTGCGAGGTTTAGAACCTGCATTTTTTTTTTGGCTATTACGTCAAGTATCCTCCAGCCCCCAGGCCGTCTCGGCTTCTCCTCTTCTCCTGCCTCGCAGATGGGTGTATCAGATGTCAGATGGGAGGGAGCCTCGCCTGCAACCTTGCGGTGCAGCATGGCTCGCTTCCATCCTCCTCCCCCGCCGTCACGCCCTAGGTACCCACGCATGCCTACGCCCGCATATCGTGGCTCCCCTTCAGCTTCTAGACGCACGAGGTCCCCGGGGAATGCTGGGCAAGTGGCGAAAAAAAAAAAAGAAACATACAGACTTGTGCTATTTCCCTTTGTTCATGTCATCTGCAGCCACATGCTGTAGCCATGCGTCCACACATTACATTACATGCGCGTCCACCCCCTCCCCGGACGTGCAGCCCACATATATCTAAAATCGCGGGAGGCTGCCTTAGCCCGCTGCCCACAACCCATTTCTTGTCTGGCCCCGTGCTTGACTGCGCATGTCTGTCTCGCCTGGAAGCGCTACGCCGGGCCCAAGGTTGTTGGCCTCGGGGGACGGGTCGCCAGCCGTGGGCCCGCCGGCTTGGCCAGAGTGGGTGGAGGAGGGTGGCTAGGGGAGGGAGGGGGGAAATGGGCTGGCCAGGACCCCATCCATCCCTGGCTCCGGGCTCTCGTCTCCCGAGGCCTCGTTTGAGTCAAAGAGGCAGGGAGGTGGACGGACGGCCCTGCCTGTGATACCCAGATAACCTGCCTCTAGACATGGGTACTTTCACCAATGTATGCGGAAAGCTCTAAGGAAAACAACATGACCTGCCTGCCTCCCCTTTCCCGCTGGCATAATGGCGCCACGGAACCATCCACCTCGATCAAGCAATAGCCTGGAGGTTGCCAGCCGGCCAAGGTGGCGAGCTAGCATGCCTGCCCGCCTGCCCGCACTCCCCCTCTTTCTGGTGCTTATGAGGGGTTTCTCCTCCCCTCATCCCTTGCCTGGCTGACAATGCAAAGAGGAAATAAATGGTCGGGGTTGATGAAGGCATCATTCCCGCCTGTCGCCTGGCTGCATGCAATCCCATTACGGCGCGGTGCATACCAAAACCGGCGGCTACCCGGCATGATGGCAGGACTAAGCTACGTAGAGTGTAAAAAAGATGGCAAAAAAGGGGGGTGATGCGAGGGTGGTGTGGTGTCACCCAGGTGATGGACGATAGACGATGGACATCCTCTTTCACACCGTATCTTTGAGCTTGTGCTACATCAGTACCCCTCTCGTCACTATCCCAATGTGCTGCTATCATGGCAGGCCTGCTTACGTGCGTCTCTCGAATACACACTCATCGGTTTATCTTTTTGTCAGCCCGGGAATTGGGCAAGTAAGGAGGAGAGCACATAGTGTCGAGTACATCGCCATGCTATCTGGCCACTTTACGGCTGCCCTTCCCATTCGTCTAGCCCCATCTTCCTCCTGCGCTACCTACAGCCATAGCTGTGATATCCGCCATTCGTGCGTCCTGATAAGGGGGAGGGACCGTACCCCTCGGTAATACAACATGAAGCCAATGCGCGGGTGCGCGTGTGCGTGTGTGTATGTGAATGTATGTGCCGGCGGGCGTCGTACATGCCGCAAGGGCGCGGAAGAGGGAAAAGGGTGGGAGGAGATGCCAGTGCTAAAGAAACGTGCGGACTGTTACCAGGAAGCAACCAGAGAGGGAGTAGTAGTTCGTATAGAGCGTGGCAGACTTGTGCCCACGTTTTCCCCACCGCCTTGACCCTTCCTTTTGCGCCTTCCCATACTTGTTGGGCTACTATTCGTCGTCTTTCTTCCTCTGCTGCCGTACCGTTGCTCCTTGCAGCGTGCTACGGTTGCATTTGCACGACGGGCACCACGGATGCGCAGATGATTCGCATATGTAGAATGTGCCACCCGCACTCTACTTTGGCCAGCCGACATGGCTCTTTGCATCCTGCTGTGTCTGATATGGCTGCCCAGGGGATCGGCTGCTTGGAATCTGTGATACTCGGGCGAGTAGCTATATGTTCTACTGAGTTCGTTTATTCTCTGCGAGTCCTATGTGTGTTGAAGCATTCCTGTCTTGTAGCTTGTTGACCACTAGATAGAGTCCGCGAGCGACATCAGCATCAAAGCCTGGCAAGATGAAAGAGGGCATGCTATGAAGAAGGTGTACGATGAGCACTCAGTGTTGCGTATCACAATGCGTGCGCATGCGCGTGTGCGTGTGCGTGTGCTCCTTTCCCACTCCGGGGTTCTGATGATCACGCCATGCTGTGTACGAGTGGCCGTGGTGCTCTCTACGCGGAACAGACGAAAAAAGTCACAGCCACTTCACACATCTCCCACCAAGAGGAGTGCTGGAAGGTTCCGCTAGGCTCGGGCAAGGGAGGATGCACACGAACATCCCCGAGACTCGGACAGAGGCCGGGGCACAAGCGGGAAAGCGGCATAACCCGCGGGCTGCTTGTCCTTTTGCTATGCTCAGGCTATCCTTTTGTTATGCCGAGGCGGGGGGCCTCCCGCTCCCAAGTCGAGTCAAAAGGGATGGAAAAGCCTAGACAATACCCAGAGTCCTTCCCCATCCCATCATTGCCTCTTACTTCTCTGATGTTCTCCAGGGACCATGGGCAGGCATACCCAGTGGTGCTTCCTGCTTCGCAAAGGCAGAATGTGCGACTTTCTACAGAGAGTTTCATGTACTGCTCCCCTGGAACACCATGGTCCGGTTTTTGGTTCATGGGCTCTTACAATGTACGTCGATAGTTCGCGCCGTGGCGGGATATGGCGCGACCCCCGGCAGCGGTACCGAGAGATGGGCTTGCCGGTCAAGACGATCGACTAGACGGGGAACCTTGGGGGAGGGGGGCCCATCAAGTAGTTGGGACCGAGACCTTGCATGAAGCCCCCGGCGGGGGTTCCCCGACGCGCCCCCCATGCCTTTGGACGGAAAGTACTTTATGCTGCTTCCCTCAGCAGTCGGAGTTCTGCTCTGCGCCTCCCCTGCCCGTCCAAAGCATCTAGGCCTTCTGGGCCGACAAGCCAGACGGCAGCAAGGGGCAAGGGGCATGGGGCATGGGGCATGGGGCATGGGGCAACCGAGTAGACCACCGCAGCCCCGAGTGTCATCTGTGCCCGATGCATGTCACATGTGTTTGTTGCCTCTGCATGCAAGCTGCCGTTGAAACCTCGGGGATTCAGGGCGAGGTTCCCGGCCTCGGAACGCCCCCAGGGAGTGACCTTGGATGATGGGCAGACCTCGGCGAGAGGGCTTTGGGGGGTGTGTGGGATAGGCGGGTTTCGAAGTTGAGGGGATCTTCTCTGCACCGCGTCAGCTCGGGGGGTGCGTCTGCGTGGGAGGGGCAACAGCCCAAGCATGCAGGTTCAAAAGTCAGTCGGCATCTCATGGATTCAGGGGCAAACCGCGCTTTGGTCAGCTCCTGCTCGAGAGATGTGCAGGTAGAGAGTAAGAGATGAGGGACTAAGCCTAAAGAGGAGGGTTGCCGGCACAAGGGCCGAGAAAAAGGACAAGAGAAAATGGCTGGGAAAAGATCAGAGAGTTGCGTGTATTGCGGCTGTAACGGAACTTGCTTTCTGCGCACGATCATCCCCGCTCCCAGACTCGGTATCAGCTTTCTTGATTCTACCAACTCGTCTCGGCCGAGGGGCTCTGTGCACTGTTACGCATGCGTAAGGCGGCTGTCTTTCCGCGGCGGTGGAGGAGGGAGATTGGTTGTGGCAAAGAAGGGGGGTGTGTGTGGATTCAAAGAGAGCCGGAAAAGGACATGGTCTTCTCCCTAACAAAAGAGTCTGCATCATCGTCCTGCTTGATGGTGATGCACGTCCTACATGGCCGATATGCGGTGAGGACTGCGCGGCCAGCAAAACACCATGGCACCGCAGCCCCGTCTCATGATAATATCCCGATTGGGCCGCCTGGGCACGGCTAGACTCTTCTTACTTGGGTCACCAAAACAAGGCTGTCGGGCTGGTCTGCCCGCCAATGGGTTTCGACGTTGAGGACATGGCGCATGTGTATGTGGTGGCTGCTAGTATTCTTCGCTCTCTTGACAGCCGGGCCTTGATGCATCTGATGGGCGCTGTTGGGGGAAGGGAGGTCTACGGTCAGTTTCGACTGGTGCTCTCAAGTCGGCACACCGACGGTCAGATCTGTACGCACTGCCCTGTCCGTCTCCAGTGTGGTGCCGATACGTACGCGGACGCCACGGAAGAACGCTACGGAAGAGTTAGGCTCTTCGGGAACAAAAACAAAGGCCCGCTGCATAGCCCAGAGCTCGTATACCGAAGATGGGAAACATGATAGCCTTTTTTTTATATTTTTTTTAACTACGAACTCCTGTCGTGTGGTGTTGTATCGCCTCCCAACTGGGAGGAGGGATATGGGACCGCACTGGAGCGAACCAGACGAAGAAGGGCTTCTGGTGGCGGTGCGAGGCGAGGCGAGCAGTCGAGGGACGCCCGGTTGTGATACGGCGCTTGCACGGCTGTTTATGTGGGTCGACAAGGTTGAGAAGAAGATATATGTGCATGCATATGTGACCTGTACCTGCCTGGCCGCCCCCCGCGCAGCTGTATAGACGGTAGCCAGCCATCCATGGCACAGCATGGTGCAGTGTGTGTTGGAGGTAGCTAGTAGTCGGCGGACTCGTGGCAGGAGCAAGTTCTTGGTTGTTCTGCTGCTGCTGCTTGTCGTAAGCGTGGCGCGGTGCTTTGTCGCACAGCACGGCGAGAGGAATGTGAGGAAGTCGGGGTCTGTGTTGACTGGTCTGTGTCGACCGAGCTACCGAGGTAGTTGGTGTGTTGGGAATGGCGCTAGCCCGGGGTTGTAGTGTCTCTGCACGCGCTGATTGGCCCGGCACTGAGACTGGGCTAAACAAATGACATGCAGCGGCAGCAGGGTCAGCCTGGTGTTGTTTGTTTGGTGGCGTTAGATGGTCAGTGAGATTCTCAGATCAATGGGGCAATCGCTCGGCAGCAACTGCTTTGCCCAGACTCGAGCCACAGCACTGGAGCACTTTGATGGATCCCAAAATGGTGGATCTCAAAACAACAAACAACAGAAAAAAGGTCAAGGCCCGGCTTCATCCTTCATCCACGCCCACAGCCACCACCGCCCGTTGACAAAGTGCCGACGGGTTGCAGATTGCAGACTGCAGCCTGTAGCTTCGTTTCAGCCCTTTTCGGATGACCAGCGTAGACGCCACATCCCTGGTCTAGCACAGCAACCCCTAGCACAGCAACCCCTAGCACAGCATCCCCAGCACCCCCAGCACCCAGACGCAGGGGACACCATCCCAGCTCCTGGCCTAGCTCCAGTCCCTTCTCGCGTCCTGCCCACCAGAACCATGCCGCCGGGCCCAGACGACGACAGGCCGAGGCCCCGGCCGCCGCAGCCCCAGGGCTCGCACAGGGCTGCTGAGCCCGTCTACGGCTGCCGCTTCGACCCCTGGAACGCCGTGTCGCTGGGCCACCAGCGCGCCGAGACGGCCGGGCCCCTGGGCTGGCGCGACAGCCGCGCCGCCAAGCTGCGCTCCCAGTTCCGCGCCGGCCACGGCGGCGGCGAGCCCATCTCGGACACGGTCGGCGCCGGCAGCAGGGACTTTGATGACCCGCGGATAGGCGCCCTTGTGCCAGACGAGGTGCGCGCCCGCGTCGCCACCAGCGTCCTCGGCATGCTGCGCGGCTCCACTGCCAAGGACGGGCAGCAGCAGCTCAAACGCCGCCGGCCCGGCTTGGTAGCACCGCCCAGAGCTTCTTCTGCCGCTGCGGTACCAAGGTTGCCACAACCACCATCATTATCAACATCAGTATCAGCACCGGAACCAGCATCGTCATCAGCAAGCACAGAGCGCGCCGCGCCCCAGAGGATAAGCAGCAACAGCAGCAGCAAAACGGTATCCGATCCCTTCGGCTACGGTGTTCAGTCCGCGCCGCCATCGCCGTCCCGCGCCCGCGCCGCCACGGCCGAGGAGGCGCTGGCGGCGCAGCGCAGGGCCGAGGACGAGGCGTGCGAGCAGGACATGGGGCGGGACAGGCGGGGCAGGCCCCGGGGCATCTTTGACGGCCTGGTCGTCTACGTCAACGGGAGCGCGCACCCGCACACCTCGGACCACAGGCTCAAGCGCGTGCTGGCCGAGAACGGCGCGCGCATGACGGTCCACCTGGGCCGTCGCCAGGTCACCCACGTCATACTCGGCCACCCCGCCTCGGCCTCGCCGGCCGCGGCTGTCGGTGCCGGCCGCGGCCTCGCCGGCGGCAAGCTGGAGAGGGAGATTCTGCGCACCAGGGGCTGCGGGATAAAGTACGTCGACGTTCATTGGTGAGTTTTTGTTTCTCTGACCATGTCTGCCTCTCACACCACTGGCCCTGGGGGGCGTGTCTCCTGACCAGTCATCTCGTGTTCCTGCTGGCTGCCCGTGTACTGTGTATCACAGCGTCACCGTACCTCCCCCTTTTCCCCTCTCGTCTTCTCGTTGCTGTAACAAGAGGCCCTGACATGGCATCAACCAGGGTGCTGGAAAGTGTCAAAGCGGGGCGACGGCTACCCGAGGCAGGCTTCTCAAGCCTCAAGATTGCTCCGAGTGGCCAGCAGAGCGTCTACGGCGCCTTCTCCAGGGCCGCCACCCGTCCGGCGCCCGCTGCTGCCGTCACCACCAAGGGCGACACAAGAACCCACAACGGCAGCTAGCGGTGCGCGCTGCTGAGCGACGCTAGCCAGAGCATCATTGCTTCTTCTTGCTCTCTCCTCCGTCTGTGCAGGGGTTTGTCAACACGCACACAAACCCATCCACCCACCCACCCACCCCCCTCTCCTCCCAGCGTTCCACCGCCTCCCCTGGGTCACCACTCGGCCGTTGTGACGAGTATTTACCCGGGCCGCGTTGAGACCCACGGTCTGCATGACGGGACCGGACATGAAGCGGACGGGGGCATGGACCACAGCAGCCAGGGGGGAGGATTATGCAGAGGGTAAGGTGACGACGGACGATGTGGCACGCCGACTGCTGAGTCGAGTAGGGCAGGTCGGTCGATCAAGGCACGCTGCCGTTGTATGTTTACCACCACCACCCTTTTCCACCATGTTCCCTTCTCCTGTACTGGCAGCCATGTAAGGGATGGGATGCCTGCATTCGACAACATGGTTCTCGGAGAATCCGACAGCAGACTGCTGCTCGATGGAAAAAAGGGATAGCCGCATGTTCTGGATAGACGCAGGGGTCGGCGCTAGGGATGACTTGCATGGCGTTGGGCATAGACGGGGCTAGCGTCTTCTCGCCAAGCCTTCTTTCTGTCTGGTGGCTACATTATTTTGTTTATGGATCCACCATCTCGGGACTCAGGGGGTCGACCGCCCCCGAGAATGTTGTAGTTACGCCGTGATAGCCCTGTCCGCCCCTCCTCCCATGATTGTACTCTTATTATCCGCCATGTGCCTCCTGCGAGGCGACTGATTTGGATGGATGCCGAAAAGCGTCCCCAACCTCTCCCGACGGTCCAGGGAGGGTTACAAATCCTGGGGGCCGGGCTGCGTTCCGGGAGACGGGAGAATACGCACAAGGGTGCCACTGCTCACTGCACACTTTCCATCCGCATCGCCAGCAGATACCGGCTCCAGTTTTCTCTTCTATTGCTTCTCAAAATTATGCAGCCTCCCGCCGCGTGTGTGTGTGTCCTTCCAGAACGGCTATCTACGGATGCCGACATGTGAGAGAGGGAGAGAAAAAGGAGGGAGGAGGGCTAAAATTGCAGCAGACGGACTTTTGCTGGCTTTCCATTCCCGGCTTCCCGGAGCGGGCCATCCAAGCAGAGATAACCCGTAAGGAGAAGAAAAAAAACGACACTCCCCCGCTGGTGACGATGCCGACGGCCTCGCTTTCTCCACCTTCCACACCCCTCTCGCTGGCGCCTCTCCTGTGCGACGCGGTGGCCCCGATACGAGCTCTGCTGGTGCGCCCGTTTAATTACCAGCTGCCTTTTCATTGGGAGGTTCGGCGGAGGAGGGGCGGTGGCTCCTAGGGTTGCTGGTCTTTCTTTCCATTTTGCAACTCGCGGTTCGGGGGGAGGGCATGGGAGCAGGGGGTGAAGGGGGCCATGCCTCGTGGCATGCTCCATCATTCCGTCCGGCATGTCTCCTATGGCTAGGCTGGGGTGGTAGGTGAGTAGCCAAGGGGTGATTTCGGAATGCAGAGCTCTAGGGGGAGGAGGAACAAAACAGACGCACTTACACACCTTCACTCCCGCCCACTTTCCCATTCATAGTCCCGCCAACTGTTGCCTGCTGGGGCCATCCAGGGTTCACGGATCGACGAGCGGGACAGGGATCTTCTAGACAGACGGCAGAGTCCGCCGGACCGGTCGAGAAACCCCCTCAGCATGCCCGCTGTTCGATATCTCATCGCCTCAGAGGTTCCACGTCGTGCGTCGGACAATGCAAATTGTCAGGTTGGACTGGGGGCCGCCTGGACGAGGCTGGCCCTTTTGGCTGGCCCATAGGTGCCCGTTCGATAGGTCGTTGTTTAGTGCAGGCTTCTTGCTGTTGCTGCTGCTTCTTACTGTTATTGTTGTTGCTGCTGCTGCTGCTGCTGCTGCTGCTGCTGCTGCTGCTTGCCCTCCCCGTCTCATCTCGCCATCGTCCCAACAATAGCCCCATGTGGGTGAGAAGGCCTTGTTCCGACGGACAGCTGTCACCGCCGCTCACGCGCCCGGGCTCGTGATCGTCACGACATGCCCTGATGGGTTCGGCGCTTGATTTTCATGAGGACACATATGTTCTCGTGCCGGGGGCTTCACGGGCCATGGCACAGGGCGCGCTCGAATCAGCCCTTGTCCTCCCCGTCCGTTACCCGTTCCCAGCTGCGCTTTCGTAATTCTGGCTCGACACGCCCTCTCTTTTTTTTTCTTTCTCCCCTCACCTTGCTCCCGTGATCTTCGTGTTGTATGTCTCGGGCTCTGAATCATCACCATGCCCATCTTGCTGCCTTGTGTAGCCCCAGAGTCAAGAGAGGAGAAGAGGCCCAATCAAAGGAACATGCGTGACCAGGTTGTCACCCCATCTCTTACTACCGGGCTTTGGACAGCCGGCCTCCGAGATGAGTGATTACGGGGAACCTACGGAGGCAAGGGAGGTAGAACAGAAATAAAAAAGATATGCAACGCGGATACGTGCAGCAAGCGGCATCCATATCGACCACAGAGTCCCCACTCCCGGGTTCTCTTGACAAGTGGCCTGCATACATCCTTCCCGGCCCCGTGTCAAAGGGGCAGCAGAGAGAGAGGCCCAGCCGACGGAAAGCATGGGAGAGGGAGAGAAAGAAAACAACCGTACGCCACGCCATCGTTACGCACGAAAAAAGGAGAATTCTGAACTAGCAGGGAAAGACTGCGTGTCCACTCGCTTTCTCCACGTTTGGTGTGTCACCCACACTTCCTCCCGTTTTCTGGCCGCTTCATGAGAGGCGCGGGGGACGAAAGAAACCAGGGCGCCGCTCCTGTCCCCCCCCCAGGTCGGACAGCCAGCCCTCGCAGCTGCAGAACCGAGGTGGCAACAAAGTGAGCCCAGGAAAAGGCGATATGCAAGCCACGGGGCGCCGCGGCCCCCCAACTCGTGGGTGATGGGTTGTTCCCACGAGTCTCCACCAGGTCGTGTCACCCGCCGACCGTCACACCGACGCTGTTGCGCCGGGAAGAGAGGGAACAAGAGGCAGGGGGTGGGGTGGGGTAGGTGCGTGTGTACCCAGGCCTAGATGGGAATGGAGCCATGGCATATTGGAGGGCTAGGCTTTGCTTTCTGTCTCGGCCAGATCCAGGCAGTTTTTACGGTATGATAGAGTCGAAACACGTGTACCGGCACGGATAGCTTGCCTCCTATTTGTCGTTCTCCACCTGGGGGCTGTTGTCCTGTCTTCCCATAAGCCCATGTCCCGAATTGGTCTGTATACTTTCCTTCTCCCCCTAATTTTCCCCTCTGTACACCAGTCCAACCCGCCCGGAAAACACATGTGACAGCATCTCGATTTAGTCTTGCTGGAGATGCCACAAAGGCAGCGCCCCCACTTGCCGCCTTGCCTCGCACCTCCAGCGGGTTGGGTTTAAGTCTCTAGGTGGTGCATGTACGGCCTGAGGGCGTATATCCACCACTGATCTCGGGGGGAATGGAGGGGCGCAAAGCTTCTTGTGGTGCTGTATCTTGTGTCGTGCCCGTCCGTGTCCCCGGGTGGACAGGCCGACAAGCTAGAGGCCCCCGGGACAAAAAAAAGAGGGGACCAGAGAGCCGGCAAGGCTAGAAGCGGCTTTTGACTGTTGCCCCCGACGTCGCATCCGCGGGGTGGGTTTCTTGACGTTACCCGGTAGGGCATTTTTGCGTGTACAGGCCCTTGTCCAAGGGCCCATGACTTTACAAGAGGCCTAGGCGGGAAGGCCGCGGAAGGGCCGCTGTATTTGAGCGTGTATTGCCCTGCGCAACATCCTGCCCTATGATTCGGGCTACACCGGTCCCTTCTGAGCCTTGGGGATTGCTGGTTGGCTGGACTGCTCCCAAGGGCTGAGACGGCTATACGTGCCATGTTGCCCATGTCGGGGGCCCGATTCAGCATCTGTGACATGTTGGCTGGCGGGTCAAGCATGACCCTAAGACCTGAACTGCGACGACCAGGGCATAGACTTACCAGCAAAGGGCCTTTGCTATACTTGCAAGTGACATGAGCAGGTGGTGATATGAGATGACAGGAGAGAGAGAGAGAGAGAGAGAGAGAGAGAGAGAGAGAGAGAGAGAGAGAGAGAGAGAGAGAG